GGCTCACGGGGGGAGGGGCGGGGCTCACGGGCGGAGGGGCGGGCTCAGACTCACGCTGGTTCTCCGCTGTGGAGGCGCCTGGGGACACCCGGGAAGCTTTAAAGCAGTTCCAGGCCGCGCACGCTTTCCGATTTCATGCCTCTGGGGTGAGGTCCGGCATTGGCTCAAGCTTCCCACGTGATTCCAAAGTCGCAGGACGAGTAGAGGAAGTCACAGGAAATTGACCTTGAAGTCCTTTCACAGGTCCGTGCCGCGAAAGAGGAGCCAGAAGCATGGCATTAGTTGCACCCGGATAAAGGAAGGTTCGGAAAATGCCCTTTCCTGCCTTTGTGAAAGGAACGTCGTGAACGTGTATTCATTTTGGATGAATATTTGTTCTCAGTCATTCTTATTTAAATACCCCTTATTTTTCTGTCCCCTTACGTGGTGCATTTCTGAGCCACCGTGTTCTCTCTTCCTTGATTTTTTTACATCCCGCTGTTGTAATTCCTTTGACCTAATTTTACTGATTTCACTTATGCTGCCCTTTCTTTTCTCTTTATTTTTTATATTAATTTGTGTTATTTGTCTATTCTATTAAGTGCTGAGTCACCGCGACATTCCCGTTTTTCCCTGCATTACTCCTTTCTTTTTAAGCCAGAGAAACCGTGTAACTTAATGGAGGAACAGCCAGCCAATTAAACATGAGGAAAAAAAATACACGGGTGTTGTGTTCTCTCCCTCTCCCTTCCATTTCTGAATGGATTACTGTTGCTGATTTTATTTATTAAAGATTGCCATTAGTCCATAGTAAAGAACCTACCAGGAAGTAGCAGGGTTTCCAAAGCTACAATATTTTTCACAGACTGTGGCTGCAAAGATCTTTTTGGTGTTCCCAGATATGCTCAGCAAAGTGAAGATGGTCGTGTTTTCTTTGTTTTGTTTTGTTTTTTAATCGCTTAAACACAAGAAAGAGTCCAGGTAAAGATAATCTAATTGAAGTAATAATAATTTTTAAGAAAAGAATTACAGTAAAGAAAGGGCAGTTTTATTTAAAGGAAACTACTGCCATTATTAAATATACTTATAACAAATGTATTACAAGGAACCTAACATCCACCATTGATTACTATGAAGTTTTTACTGGGATTGGTATACGGTTAGTTGGTAAGTTATCCTGAAGGTGGCAGGCTACTCCAAGATTTCCATCTTTGCGATGTAAGCTTGCTCCGAACTGCTTTTTAGCCCAGGTATTCATATTTCCACAGGTGCCAAGAAATTTTCATCTACCTCATTATGTCCATGGGCTTCAAAAATTATGGTAGCAATTCAAGTCATTGTCTGTTAAAATATTTTAAAAGTGAAAAACGATTTTCATGGAAATTCCACCACATTTCTGGCAGCATGAAAAGTAATGTTAGACAAAAGTGACAGGAAGTGTAGGTTGCTGTGGGGATTACCACATAAAGAATTTCCTTGAATTAACCACATTTAGGTAGAGTTCGGGTTAAATATTGATGGAACTTCCAACCTATGCCAGCGGCTTTGCCTAGTTCTGGCTTGGTGCTGCTCAGGCCTGCAAAGAACCAAAGACAAGGCAGAGGTACTCCACCAGAAATGCACAATTGGCTCTCACCCCTTGGGAATCATCATGGAATTAACACTTGAACCACAAATGCATAAATCCAGCTCTTGTCAAAACATAAATTAAGAGGAAGTCTGAATTCAGAATCCCCCTGGGCTTAAGGGTCAAAGTCAGGTCTCCAACTAGCTTGCTGCTCAGAATTAAGCATCTGTCTGAGAGGAGTGTTATGATAGGTGCGTTTTGCTGAATACCTTAGGATACAAATAAAATAGATCCAGGGTCTTGCCAACACATTAGAATGTAAATTCTATGAGGAAAGGATTTTTTTATCCATTTTGTTTACAGCTGTATTCATCACATTGAACAGTGCTTGGTACACAATAGGAACTGAATGTCAAGTAAATCTCAAATGAACCCAAAGACAAGCAAGTCCCCTGAGGTGGAATCCAGACCCTAAACAGGTTCTCTTTGCTTTCAAAAATGAGTCCTTGTGAAAGTCACTGGAGACTTCCAACATTTCTTGGTAGCCAGTAATTGCATAATTTCATCCTCATATCTTCTTTGACTATGACTTCTTTGTCTCCCTCTTTCCTTTGTAATATTCTTGTGATTACAAGGATCTAACATGAATAAATCCAGAATAATCTTCCTATCTCAAGAGCCTTAATCACATCTGCAAAGTACCTTTTGCAAGTTCTTGGGATTAAGAGGTAGACATCTTTGGGGTTTGTGTGTGTGTGGGGGGGCGGGGGGGGCAGGGAAGGGGGGGGGGGGGGGGGGGGGGGCAGGGAAGGGCATTGTTCTGCCCACTATAGTCATCATCTTCAGAATATTCATATATGCCGATGTAGCCATGATCATGTAGTAAAAGACAGATAGAATGATGGAGAAAATGCCCAGTACAGGCAGTCCTCGGGTCACGTCGGACAACATGCGTCATTTCATGATTACGTCGCCATCTCCCATTTATTGATTTAAAAAAAAAAAAAAGCTCCGTCATTTTGACGTATGTACATATGTGCTTTGTGTTTTTTTTAATATTTATTTGCCACAAGTAAAGGTCAGGAATTGTTATCTTTTTAAAATTTTTTTTTTTACTGTTTCACTTCATTACTGCTGTGTATGTGCTCCATGTGAGTGACGTAGGTGCTTATGTAGGTGGGTGCCGATTTACCGCGAAAAACGTTAAGTCACGCCGTAGGAACGGATCTCCGACGTAACCCGAGGACCTACTGTATTCTTCATTCAGCTCCACGGAGCTTATATTCCAATGAAATTACCTAATTGTTGAAAGAATAAAACCAACCCGTTTGGGTAGTAGTACTCTTTCTCTCAGGTTTGCCTAAGAGCCATGGTAGCTCACTAGTAAATTTGACACTAATGTGCCAGGTCAGCTCTGCCCAGGGAGGCAATTCTTATGTTCCCAGCCTCTCATCTTTGTATCTGAGAAGCCTCAGTGATCAAGAGTACGAATCTGCCTTGTATATAAAGCAACATGACCAGTTTCCCTAATTACAGCATCTTAGAGATGCCAGAAGTCCACCACTTGCCTTACTCTCCTTCCCACTCCATTATTTCCATCTTGGTTTAGAATTTTACAATTTCACCCACCCATTTCTTTCATTGCATTGATACTTTTCTCCTCTTTTCTGCCTGTATACACTTTTAAAAGGCAGGTCCTCATGGGGACGGCAAGCCATTTTATGGAAGAGTTTATCAGTTCTCTGAACTCTCAGACTGGAAGAAAATAGCTGTCTGAAAAGCAGGGGGAGAGAGAAGGAAAGCAGAGACAGAGATTACTGGGGAAAAAAAACATAGAAAATGAGAGAGAAAGGAACAGCTAGAACTCTTAACATGGCCAATGAGGCTCCTCTCCTGCAGCTTCTCTTGTGATTCTCCTCGTAAAAACTATTTAGAAATGAACAACATTGAAAGAAAGAACTATCAAAACCTGTGGAATGAGTCAAAGCAGTATTGGAAGAAAATGTGTGGGTTTCTATTGAATACATTTCTTAGAACACTAGAAAGAGTGGAGGTAAATAAGTATGAATTAAACATTTAAATCAAAACACAAGGAAAAATATCAAATTAAAAAAATTTTTAAGGACTGATGATAAATCAGAACTTAAGTTTATAGAAAAACAGTTCTTTTAAAATATACAATCTGACAAATTTAAGTAAAAATAAAGGCACAAATAAAACCCCTTAGAAATTTTTTTGGAAGGAATATGATCACAAATACAAAGACTTATTTTTAATTGAGAGAAAATGATATGTACAGGTTTGTATACAACTTTGATATATGTTTCCTCCCCTTAAGTTACTTATTTCTAACCGATAGAATGTGGCAAATGTGAACAGAGTTGAGTAGAACAGAATAGAATAGGGATAGATATAGCACATAGTCTACTAGAGAGTAGACTATGGTCACGTTCATTACTAGCTCATGTTAGATAAGACTCCATCCTAGGAGATAGAAGTGAGCAATTCTCCTCTTGGTCTTGATGAAGCAAACTACCATGTTGTTACACGTCTTTCAGAAAAGCCATGTGGCAAGGAATTTCAGGGGCCTTTAGGAGATGAAAGCAGCCCCCAAGTGACAGCCAGAAAGAAACAGGTATCTCAGTCTCACAACCACAAGCGACTGAATTTTGCCAACAATCCCATGAGCCTGGAAGAGGTCTCCAAGCTCCAGAAATTAACACAGCCCAGTCAATACTGTAGAATCATTTCCATTTATTCACTAAATATATTTGGTTACATTCAGCACCCATTATTAATAATAAATTTAATCAGCTAAGACTAGAAAAAAGCTTTACTTACTTGATAAAGAGTACACATTAAAAATTATAGAAAATATCATATTAAATGGTGAAATATTAGGAGCAACCCCAGTAAAGTCAGTGTTCTCTACTATTGGCCTTATTCAACCTTTTACTGAAGGTCCTAGCTAATAAGAACAAGAATAGGAAGTAAGAATGATTTGTTCTTTTGCAAAATCAGTACCTTTGTCTTCCTAGAAAATTCAGGAAAATCATTGAAAGCATTTTTAGATCTTATAAAAGAATTCAATAAGCTAGCTGTCCTACACATTAGTTAGAAAACGAATGGCCAAAAAATTCCATTGATGATGACCACAAAAACTATTACGCCTCTTAAAATAAACTTCCAAAACTGCAAAACCCAAATTAAGTAAACCACAAAACTTAAGAAAATACAAAAAAGGGAACACATGGCTAGATAGATGCACCAGGCTTC